GTTAACATCATTTGACAGTGAGGAGAATACTTCAGGTTTTACTATGAAAACTTCGAGACCGGAAATACTGTTTTCACCCTGTGAGGGTTGACGCTAACTTTACATGGACGCTGTGAGGAAAGACCAGGGCCTTTTGTGAAGTCCGATATTTAAATGGCATCAACACAACAAACACGTCCGAGTTCAACTTGTGTTCCCCGGATCAGCCTCGCAGCTGAGCCCCTGTAGCATCCTGGAGCTAACAGAGGTAACGGAGCTAGCAGAGAGAAAGAAAGCTAGAAGCTGCAGTCACCGCAAAGACCTGTGCATCTAAGTGACCACGCCCTAATTTATGCAAAAGCTCTAAGACCTAATATAACTAAAAGGGGTGCGTTATAAAGAAATGCACTCCCCAATCAATTGTCATGAAGGTGGAATCTAACTATATCCAGAATAATTTTTATTGCATCCAGGGGTAGAAACGTGTTTATTTCTGCTGTAAAGTTGGGCATTTTAACATGGGGGTCGATGGAAATTGCTCCTTTCTGCAGCCATCCCCTATCGGCCAATAGATGAACTGCAGTTTGTGGCACTTCCTTAGGGGCTTCCCGGCTTTGCCCCAGAGTTCGCCGCTTGCTAAAAATACAGTATTTTCTATATATTTGTATTTTATTTATTTATTTAAAAACATTTTTTATATTTCTTTCCTGTTATTTTTTCTCTTCTTTTAGACTTTATATTATTACAATACCTTTATTCAAATGTCCATTTGTGAAAATAGAGACAAATAACACAAATTATCTAAAATATAAATATATATTTATTATTATTTCAATTTGCAAGTGACATTGGTAATACATCTAAAAAATATATTTTAAAATTTGTATTTGTTATATGTGAAAAAAGTGACTTGGAAATAAACCAAATATTTCACTTATTCAGATTTTTATTTTTTAAGACAATATGTTCACATTTCTGCACAATACTACAGCTTTAAAACTGCACAGCTCTTCTGCTTTTAATTCAATTAAACTCTACACATTTTTTCACAGCAATTTCATTAATTTGTTATACTTTTTAATGTATTTTTCAATTCTTGTTCACATTATTTATTCTATATATTTTTTTGTTACATTTTTTTTTCTTATACTGTGTTTAGTTTTACACCAAAAGACCAAAGCACATTTCTTTAAATAAATGTGTCTCAATGTAGTATTTATTTTGCAATGCCTTTATTTTTGAAAGGAATGCCTATATTCTCACTGCAAATAACAAAATGTGACAGAAATATAAAACAATATTGACAAACTTCATGTATGGAAGAAAATGTAACTTTTATTCTGCAACTGAGGCCAATATTCTTAATGTTGGCCTCGATGTACAGCAGCACAAAGAGCTTCCTCCTGCCTTTTCAGAATCCTGTCAACGTGGCAGACGTCAGAGTGAATCCCAGAGAGAAGCCTCTGTCACACACACAGCGGCACGAGGTGGAAAAACGTCCTCCAGCTCTGCGGAGTGAGAGGAGCTTCAGGTACAGAGTGTGTGTCAGAGGGAGGAAACAGAGAGCTTACGCATGAAAAAATAAAAAGTGCTGCAGTCAGGAGAATTCCTCTCGAACATCTGCTCCTCATTACAACAATGGCCGCCTTTGATTCCCGATTCTCGATGCCCACAGCCAGCAGTCTCCATGTGCTCACTCTCACACACGGAGAGAGAAAAACTAAAACTGTAAGTTAAAAATGTGTGAACAAATTCAGATAAATGTCAAAAAAATAATAAAGATTGTATTAAAAAAAGAAAAATGTTGTTTCTGAAACACTGCTGGAAAAAAATGTGGGAAATATTCCCAAAATATATAAAAAATGTGTAAAAATACTCAAACATTTTAAACAAAGTAGGACTCTTTAGCTGCGACTCCGCAAACTAACAAAGGTGTACCTTACCTATGCCAAGACATACACATGCACGCACACACAGCCTTACAAATCCAAAGAAAAATAATTTTAAATGTGTTTTTAACTAAAAAGCGGAAAGAGATGTGGGTGAAAATGCGGATGTAACCCTTTCATCCAGAGAATAACAAACTAGAAGTGAGAGAATGAAAACTCACGCAGGAGCTGAAAGACTTTACAATGGGCGTTGAGGGTTTGCAGCTAAAATACAAAACATCCTGGTTTTATTGGTTTGGGAGGGAAGTCTGCGACACAAAGTGCAGAAATATTTAGAGAGCTCTCTTTCAAAGGGCAGCACTTTATAAATAGAGCCAACCACCAGATCCAAATGTTTTATACCCTCGGTGAGTTCACTGCAACAGACGTGTTTACTCAGCTGATGAGAAATATTACTGCGCGGTGCGTTCACTGTGTCCATGTTTAACCTGCTGGTACTCCGAAGCTGAAAATAAACAGGAAAAACATGGAAGACCGCACAAACCCAAAACATCCTCTAAAGATCTATTTTAGATTCTGTTTGGCTGGTCGGGAAGTGGTTGTTGTTTTGTATCGCAAACAACTTATTTATTGAAATATTCTCGTGATAATAAATATAATGAGAATGCTATGACTCTGTAAATACATTTAAAAAACATGTGAAAGAAAATATACCAAATAATGAATTAAAGATATCCCAAAAAAATGGGAAATGTCAGAAAACGTAATAATAGCCTAAAAAAAATCCGAATAATTTTTCTTTTACATTTTCCGTCAAACATGCTCATATGGAACTAGTTTCTGGTAAAAAAACAAACAATGTTTTAAAGATATCCCCAAGAAAATGAATGAAAAAAAATCAGGAAAATATGGGGAAAATATAAAAGAATATTCAGGATAATTAAAAATATATATATTAAAGGGGACCTATCATGCACAATGCACTTTTTGATGTCTGTCATACATAAATATGTGTCCCCGCCCCGGTGTGTCAGGGAACTCACGCAGCGACAGAAAATAAAACCCTTTCTCTTTTCCTCCGTACCCAAATCTTTTAAAAACACAACGAGCGGATACAGATTTGCTGCCGATATTACGTAATTTCGGATGGTGGATCCACAGAGAGTTGCTCTCAGAAACAATGCCTGACGTGTTTTGGACGTAATCTCGTCTTTGTTTACATTAGCAAGCCTCGCTAACACTCAGAGCTAACCTGTACTGGAGAGCACATGTGTTTAAATAGCAGGAAATAAAAAAAGAACTCACCTTGTGATAAACCTGCAAGAGAAAAAGCATTTGAGCTCCATACTGTTTCAGAAATAATCCTTGATGTGGTTTGGAACAGGATGGCGTTTTATCACAGCAGAATTTTACTTTATCTCCGGTAGAATTCTGATCAGGCATTAGCTTAACTATTTTTATTTTTTCAAGCTAAGGACCCAAGATCCACGTTCCTCTAACAGGGCTGGAATAGAGGGGTATGATGGATTTCTAAAATGCATGATCTGTTTGTATTTTGAGCAAAACAAATCATAGACATGTTTTTATATATTTGTATATATCTGAGACCCATAATATATGCCTTAAAATAGCATGATAGGTGCACTTTAACATTCCAGGCTCCTCCAACAATGTNTGGGCCACCCGAATAGGTTAAGGGCCAAACACCCATAGGTTTCTGCAGAGACTGTCGAGACGGCAGCGGCCGACTCCGCCTACTAAGGGCTTCTCAGCAACTCTGCAGAAACCTATGGGTGTTTGGCCCTTAACCTATTCGGGTGGCCCACGCATCCACCCCCCCCTCAAATAAGAAAATACATGCGAGTTCATGGCTACTACAACGTTCTTGTTGCTCTGTGTTGCATTGTTATGAGTGAGACACACCAGAGTTGAGGATCTGTGGGGTTTATTCTCCCAAAAATATAATTTACAATTTAGGCATTTAGCAGACGCCTTATTCCAAAGATTTACAATGACCAATTGCAGGGACATTCTCCCTGGAGTAACTGAGGGCTAAGTGCCTTACTCAAGGGCACACTAGTAGTGGTGTTCCAGGCGGGATTTGAACTCGCAACCTTCCGACCTTCCGATCATCATTAGAGTAGACCACCAACATTTAAAAAAAGAAAAGATTATTATTATTATTTTCCATTTGTGGCGGACGATATTTAATTGTTCCGGCCCGCCACAAATAAATCAATGTATGGGAAACACTGGACATGTAACCTTACATTTACATAAAGTGAGTTGATTTTCTTGTCTATACAGGCCATGGGTTGTCTACTCTACAAGCTGTGCTACTTCACGGTTCCTTTCGGGGAGAGCCAGGTGGCTATCTGTGATGGAAGTTTCACTATTCCAGACAACTCCCGCTATTCCCAGGACATGCACTGTCTCATCAGTGAGTAACCTTGATCGTCACAATAAACACACGCCCTACTTTCAGCCTATGCATCCTGTATATGTGCAGTAACTGTAGGTTTGGATGTTTTTTTTAAACAAACTTGCTTTTGTTATTGATTTCTCAGGATACATGCTGGAACCTGACCCAGATAAGAGACCAGACATCTACCAAATATCCTACTTCGCCTTTAAACTGGCTAGACGAGAGTGTCCAGTCCCAAATGTACATGTAAGTCACCATGGCAAGAGCAATGACAGCATTTTTAGATGATGATATTCTGTAGGGTTAGTATTATATATTAACACAGCTATTATTTTAATAACCATATAGGACTTCTTATGTATCTCACATGAAGTGGTTTCAGTGTCCTTGCTGCTTTCTAAGAAAAGTTATCTAGGAAGTAATAATATTAAAGGGAAGGGATGCTTTGTAGCGTTTGCCAGTTGGCTGCCATCCATCCATCATACCCTTTTTTCTAAAGTATTTCAAAGTAACACAGCAACATGTCAGCCAAATTCTGAATTCACCTTTTTAAATTGTATTAAACTTGGCAGTAATGGTGCGGACGTTTCAAATCAATACTGGATTGTGTCTTTAACACTCAAAATCTTTCCTAATACCCCAAGCAATTTAAGAAATGCGATTACCTTCTATTTAATGCAACAATTCAAATCCTCTTACTCTTGTAGAATTCCCCGATTCCCGCAAAACTTCCGGAGCCCATCAGAGCCAGTGACGCAGTGGCCAAAAAGAGTCATATCAAAGCCAGGTAAGATAAGACACACACAATAAAAGGTTTGGGAATTATTTAAAGGTCACCTATTCTGCAAAATCCACTTGTTCATATCTTTTCTACATAACCATGTGTCCCCTCTGTGTGAAGAGACTCTGAAAGTTTCAGGAAAAAAGATTCTCTCTCTTTTTGTCCTGATCCATTTATATAAAAACCTGTCTGAAAATGAGCTGATCAGATTTTGGCCACTTTATGATGTCATAACGATGTTTTGGCTTTTGTAACCATTAGCCAATCAGCAACCAAGGTAACCCCCCCCCCCACCTTATCACCTGAATCTCCTCCTAGAGCACCATTGTGTTCTTTTTAACCAAATCTCTCTCAGAGGGGCGTGGGGAGGGGCTCCTTATTTTCATCTAAAGTAACAGACAGAGAATCAGCACTTTGGAAAGAGGGCTGAAACATGTTTTGTATATATCTGAGAACTATAATATATTGAGGAAAAACAGTATAATAGGGGACCTTTAAGTTTTATTTTTTGGGGAAAAAACGTTTACATTTCTCGTCACATTTCTCTTTCCCTTCAGGCTCTCAGACCCCACTCCTACCTTGGAAACCTCAATCGCACCTCGCCAACGACCCAAAGCTGGCCAGGCTCAACCTCAGCCAATATCATGCATCCTCCCCATCCAGCCAGCTCTCACCCCCCGCAAGAGACCCAATGTGGCCTCTGGAGCCCCCCAGGCCATAGGTAGGATCTGTGATACCTCTGTGTGTTATCACCATTCATACTACATAAAGGGGCCCTGTGTTAATGGAGACAGTTATCCTTGACTCAGTGACATCTTGTATTGAACTCGGCACAGTAAAATGCTAATTCCCATATGGGCTTGTATTCCCAGTGGTTCAATTAGCTCGTTCTTGTAAGGCAGGGGTGTCAAACTCAATTTCATCGAGGGCCACATCAGCATTATGGTTGCACTCAAAGGGCCGGTTGTAACTTTAAGACTTTATAAATATATAAATATTTAATATATATAAAATAATGTATTATATTACATGATTGCCTCTGCATTGGATTATTATCAGATAGGGTA